GATAGATAGATAGATAGATAGATAGATAGATAGATAGATAGATAGATGAATTTATATGCAGTCTGTATGTGTGCAAGTTATAAATCTTGGAAAAGAACAGTCTTGTTCAGTGTTTTCCGTGTTGTCACTGTGAATGAATGAGGCATCTTCTATCTATTGCTTCACTTTTGCCACGTTCAAAATGGCGGCGACGTGGACGTACGATGCAGCGCTCAATGAGGCATCTCAATATACGTATATGTCTATGGTCCACAGCAGGTGCTAGCCAACCCAGTTTATTCTTGTAATATTATGACTTTTTTCTCATAATTTTATTTTTCTCATAATGTAATTTTTTTTCTTAGTGTAGCTGTAAAATCTCTGTCGTACTAAAGAGATTTTCTGGTCATTGAGCTCAATAACGAGTAAATCCCGTTAGTTTTCCAACATGCAGTTAAAGTGACATTGATGTTGGTAACCCAGATCTGTTTCAATTAATGTTTGCTGAAAAACCCAGTGTACTACATTTATCAGCAATATCAGTGAAAAATCATTATAAAAAAATCTAAAATAAGGAAAAAAGTTACAGACTGGTCTTAAACTCAGCTTTCTAATGAGATGGAGAACTGCAGTGGGACTAGCACCCATCTGGGTGAAAATGACCCAAGAAAAAAGTTTCAAACACATTGAAACTACACCCAAACCTAAGCAAGAAACTGATATTCAACAGTTTCAAGCGGGACCTCAAGTAAGCAGTCCTAATGATGAGGCAGTCAAAAATTTAAATGCAGGTCCCCATGATGTCAGCTACTTTACTTAGCTAATTTTAGCCAATATTAAAGAGTCAAGAAATTTAATCGAAACCAAACATAAAATATGACTTCATAACTCATAAGTCTCTCAACTGAACATTAAAGCCTCCTTTCTTTATAATACAACTTTGTTCATTTTGGTTTTCATCTAGGGTAGATCCACAGAACTAAATTTTTGTGCACCAAAGATGCACTTTTAAGCGTGACAAGCTGGCATCCTATGTTCAAACACAGCAAAGGGCTGATAAGATTGAGAGAAAAATCCCTCACTGGCGTATTCGGCATTTGCAGAAGCCGAGTCGAGCTCGATGTTGCTCAGTCATTATCGTCTCTTTCAAATGATATTCAAACTCATCTCTACTAAAAGCCTCTTGCCAGCTCATTTACTGCAATAACCACTCTATACTCCTCTGCACTGCTCTTCACTTGGAAGTCGCTTTGAATAAAAGTGCCAGTGTCATGTAGCCCATTGAGCACATACACACACAGGGTTGATGTGTGTGTGTTTTTGCAGCGATGACAAAAATGATCACATCCTGAGAAGATACTGTCTGCAAAGGAAAATGAAGACAGCAGAGTCACAGGAGGCATCAGATAAACACTGAAGGGTATCAATGAGCTGGATCAGGCCAGCTTCTGCTTTGCTAACCAGCTAACCAAACAAGCAAGAAAGTAAAATCTCATTTTCTTAAGCTGTTTGCAAGTTAAATCTTTGGGTGCATGATTTTTGTCTTGACCTCCTAGCATTTAAAGTAGTTACACAATCTTGTTATGGTGCATGCTTGTGACAAGGATAAAAACACATTACCATTGACCAGTGTTTGTCCTTCTCTTTCACTTTCTGTCTTAAGCTGCAGCTTTAGCCCTGAATCATGAGTTTCTCTTCTAAAAGCTGTCTGTCACTACAGGCATTAGGTTTGAAAATCCATTAAACTCCTAAAGTAAAGGGAGATCTTAGACCTGACAGGGACACTCGGTGTGAGAACCAGTTGGTCAAAGGTTTGAATGTTACAGACTTTTAGTTATATAAAAGGATTTCAGCTGTTTACCCTACAACCTGCTTTCCTGTCTTAGAAACAAAAGCTGATTTTGGTCATAAGTTCAAACAAACCACACAAATGCATAGCGATTTAACAAAAACACATACTAAAGTCTTGTCCCCTGAAATATTTACCAAAAATGTACTACATTTACAGTGGGCCCTGAGGTGTAGATGAACAACATTTGAAAAAACGGAATTACATTAACCCAAAGCGGAAGTGGCCAAAGTGGAAGTGGCCGGAATCACATTTGGGAGAAAAAAAACGGAATTACATTAGAAAAAAATGGAAATTATATAATTTTTGAATGAGTCCGTTTTTTCTAATGTGATTCCGTTTTTTCAAATGTGATTTCTTTTTTCAAATGCAATTCGTTTTTTTCTAATGTGATTTTGATTTTTCAAATGTGATTCCGTTTTTTCAAATGTGATTC